TTGTTAAACTGACGGTCTGTAAGGAGAAAATGTTAGTATAGTGTAGTACTGTAAATCCGGGACCCAACTAGTGTAGTACCATGCATAATCCGGACCCAACTAGTGTAGTACCTGCAAAAATCCCGGACCCAACTAGTATAGCATTTTTGAATTCGGGACCCAATTCGGATGCAGCCTAGGTTACAAGTGGGTCACTGTATAATGGATGCTATTAAAGTTGAATTCAATGATACAATATCATTGTATAAGAAAAACGATTCTGAGCGAAGACGGTATGTCAGTCTAGGTTTAAGACAAATTATATACATATCTACGGTGTTAAAAAAAAAATTGACCTATAATAAATTCCAAATTAATCATATCACATTATCACAATATCCATTAGGTACTTATATCACGTTATACATCAACATCAATAACAAACCCTGATACTATCATAGATAGTACACTTTAGAAGTTTCAAGTAGGTACCCACGAATAATATTATATAATCACAACAAAATAACTAGGTTTTTTAATATGTAATTTCGTCCAAATTTGAACATAAAATGACTATAAAAGTAAACTGTGATTGTATATTTTTTAGATTTTTCGGTAAGAGAATTAACTACTTTTTTTTTATTACTTGTTTTAAATTTTCAATCCTTAGCTATAAAAACTGAACATTTAATAATTTATTAATTACGATGATTAATAATTTTCAAGATTTTGAAAAATTCTGTCAAAATTCGATGTTTAAATGCTTATAAAAAAAAACTGTGCCAATGTATTTTTAATATTTTTCAACTGATATTGTAACAATATACCAGGAGCCTTGTATTAAATTTTTACACTTTTTGGCCCAACAGATAAAACTTTATTGATATTCATAGAAAAAAAACTAAAAAAATTGAAAAATGAAAATATCCGTAAACAGCTCAAAAAGAGTCAAAATATTTTCAAAATTGTATGGTGTATAGGAAATGCTAATATAAACATTCAGTGAAATTTTCATGTATCTATAGTTATTCATTTATGAATAACAACAAAATAAGGAAATCGCTACATGAGAAATCGAGTGAACATCCAATGTTGTAAAAATTTGAATTTCAAACGCTCATAAAAATTTAATTTGACTGTCGGGTAGAGATTTTTTATTGATAAAGGTAGACAAACTTATGAGTAATCTTGTATTACATTTTCAAATCTTAGATTTAAAAAGAAAAATTTTTACGAATTCTTAACTCAAAATAATTTGCTAATTTTCGTGATTTTTCCATATTTTGTCAATTTTTGAACTTTAAATGCTTATAAAAAAAAACTGTGACTAACGATTTTTAATATTTTTCATCAAAAAAAATAAAAAAAATAAAAAACACACATCATTGTAAAATCAATACATTCATCGTTTCACTCAGAATCTAAAAAAATTACGTCAAAATGTTGATTAGTTTTGAAGATACACAAAAAAATGTGTGATAGCTGGTTTGGTTTTTGATAAAAAATGTTAACTGCCCATAACTTAAAAAATTAAAAAGTTAGAAACACTCTTTAAAGGGTATTTCTTCATCATTTTGGGTATACTTTCATATGACGTCGGCTGGTTACTTCATACCGGGACACATTGTATAATAATATGCTATATTGATATCATATAGGCATAGGTACCTATAGTATTATATGGACTTAGATTATAGAAATGTTTCTATTTCTATGATTATAAAATGCGTGCCAAATGTGACAAATATTATCTTTATTATTTTACCATATTGTCCACAAATGTTTTAACGCCACTTAACACATTTGAACGCAACATAAAGTTATAGATGAAAATAACAAATGTTGTAAAGTCATTTAGAACATTTGTAATTTACTAATTTTAGGTATTCGAACTAATTTAAAATTAACACGACTTCTGGCAGAGTAAATAATGAACTATTCACAGATTCACTTACAATGTTTGTGCATAATGCGCAGAATTTTATAATTAAATTGAATATGGACTTAACTCATTTTTAAAAAAAGTTCTCTTCACACTTGTGCGCTACACCATCGAATTATATCGCCTATTTAGCAGGTTTGCAGTAAATTCCCGATTATACCAGCTCGTACAAAAGGATGATAAGAATATATTAGTACGTTACTGCATCCCGTGAGTAAAGCACATCATGTTTAATAAAAAAAAAATGTATGGTTAATCTTTAAAGACGGTTAGGTTAGGAGACGGATAATCGAGATTTTACTGTATAATGAATAATAGGTTACCTACTATGGAAGTAACGATTTAACACGGGTCAGTCTTGCGACTATGGCGTTGAGACGAGATTGGTACCCCGACTGGGTGGGGGTAGGGCAGGAGGACCAGTTTTCGGCAGTGATCACAACGGCGCGTTCTGAAGTTTGGGCATTCGGCAGTCGGTCTCAGCACAGGCGTTATCAAGGTCTCTTCCCGGCGGCTTGTTACTCAACACTCACTGAACCGTTGTAGCGATCAACCCTCCGACCGCCGTCATCTTTCCACAGGTGTGTATACATAATATATATTGTATCGTAGTAAACAATGTTCATATTAATTGTATTTAGTACCTTTAAGAGTTCAGTGTCGTAATTTGGGTGGATATAATATTATTACGATTAAACATAATACATAATATTTTGTATATACTCTGGCTCGAAGCATAATACACCAGCAGGCCGACCAGATTTCGTTCGCCGCAGCGCATCTGCTCTATAACTGGTCTGCCAGTCTAACCAGGTGTTTGTATCACAGCCCTCGACGCGGCTGTTTAACAACCATTGTACAGAATGCGCCAAATATACCAACTATACATTATTCCAGTGGTTCTCAACCTTTTTATATGTGCGTACCACCTACATAGTTTAAACATTTTCATAACCAAATAACGTTTTTTCCTTATGAAAAATGAATACGGAATTTTACATGTATGGACATTTATTTTATTAGAAACTACGAAATTATGATAATGATATAATCATTTAAAGCATAAAAAGAAAATGAAATATGTACAGTTGTTATTTATATTATTATTAATATCAAATAAACCAACTAATTATTATTGTGAATAATTATCCATTTCATTTTTTTTTTATGAAAGGGAATTTCTTAGCGTACCACCTACGAGCTTTCCACGTACCACAGGTTGTTAAACGATGCATTATATAATTTTATAGGTATATTCACGATTTAAGATAATATACAGGTTGGAAATCGGGATATGATAAGGTGACTACCAAACTGAGTTCTAGAAATTACAACAAAAAATGAATTACAGCAACGATTTAAGATATCTTAACTCGTGATTACAGTGTACACTACCGTGGTGTTAGTAGATTGCGCTGGCGTCTTTTTCCACAGTTTATTTTGCTAGTCGATTTCATAGTCAATTTCACCGCATAGTGTGGGGGGATCGGGTTACATGCTTCATCAGTCGCGATTCGCTAAACTGGTGTATTCTATTTTGAGACAGAGTATGGTATTTAATATCATGCAAAAATATCACTTATGGCATTTTTGTTAATTCTCAGACCTCGCTGCAGTCTCGCGTATACCACCTGACATTCGTGATCCAGCAGTTCGAGACAGTCGTGCTTAATAGGATACGTTTCAGGTATAAGCAGCTAAATGTGTGTACTTTAACGAGTTAGTTTCATGCAGTGACATGTTCAGCTTTATTGAACGTAGGAGGGGGAGATATGAAAATTTTAACTATTCCCAGAATACGTCAATACCTACGTTATGTATCGATAAATATACTTACTTTAATTTGTATAGGACATTAAAAGCCAAAGAGTAATATGACACCTCCCTCCTCTCGTGAGCACTCCCCTGGTTTCGCATAGGCATTGCTAATCAGTTCATATAATTGTAGGTGTAATTTGTATGTTTGACTGAGTATAGGTAAACTAAAAGCTGCTATAAAATAAGGTACTGATGTGGTTGAAATACCAAGATTAGAAAAATGCACGTTTATTTTCAATTTGTTTTGAAGCATATGATCTATAATTACTTATTGGTGTAATTAAACAACTAGGTTTTAAAATGTATAAAACCATTTTATATTCCCAAGTGTATATTTTATATGGCAAATAAGATTAATTATAATTTATTTTGTATTGTATTTTATTATTTCTAAACCTGTAGTTTTAATACATTTTGTATAATGAATGAAATGTTATGCCAACTGACAAAATGGCGGCCGTCTACAACTGAGCTTCACTTGTAACAATGTAAATTGTATAGAAGTTCCTTATGTAGTATAGAAGTCTGTGCTCCAATCAGATGTACACCACTTCCCACACAACGTGCCTGCATAATATGTTGAGAGTAGTGTTGATTAAACTTTACTACAGTGTTGCCCGCTTAGAACTTGTTTATAATTATTTTGGAATTGAAATGTCACCCGACCGATGACAATTTCGATGGTGTGACGACGAAATAAATGATAATTTAATATTCATGACTTTATTATAACTTATATGAAGGTTTCAATGTGATAAATTATATTAAAATAACAATATTTTAAAAATGTGCTCGTTAAAAATTATTAGCTAAAACACTAATTTAGAATCTAATTACTCTCAAGTATATAACCAAGGCGTTTCAAATCACTCTGCGGTTTCCACATTAGGGTTTAGCTATAAAAATATTTGTACTCTCCTAATATGTATTGTTTAATATACCTACAATCAATTTTAAAATACCTCTTGTTCATAACATTTAAACTCTGTAAATAAAATAAATATAAATGTCGCTACATTATATTACGGTCCATCTACAGCTCAAAATGTCAACTATGTAAAACCACTTACAAGGGAAAAATCAAAACTTTAAATATTATCTATTATCAAATTGGTAGTCACTTTTGCTGGTAATCTTTTTAAAATAATATTCTGAACATTGTGAATCTATTAAAATCTAATTTTTCTTTCTGAGTAACTATTAAATTTAATTCTATATCTGTTTTCAGTAACTGTTAACAATAAGACACCTTTGGAGCAATATGAATCCAATTTGTAAATTTTGCGTACATGGATCTTGTGGATCTAGTAAGAAATGTGTCAATAGACATGAAAAGCTGTCATGTGAGTATCATATATTTGAAAATCATTTTATTTCAAGTACTTACTAACAAATTGTCTGTGACAAAGTAGTAATATATTAAACATAATCAAATTTAAAAGATTTCAATCAAAATAACTGATATTAAACTATAAGCAAATAGTATATAAGTACGATTGTAGAGTAATTTTTTTTTTTACTTATAAGATCAAAATAATTATGGCAATAAAGTATTGATATTTCTGAAATATTATAATTTTTAATGAAAGGTAAAAAACATTTTATAATTATATAAATTAAGTACCTACATATATAATGGATTAAATAAAAAAATAGAATACTATGCATTTTCAAATATAGTCGGACTTGGTTAACACAAATTTGAAGGGTTTAAAGTTCGAGTTATCCAAAATAATACAAAAATAGAAAATTCTAGGGACATAGAAAAAGTTTGAGGTATCAACAATAATGGGTTAAAAGAGTTTGAGTAATACTGTACAACTATACTATGAATTGTATAAATAATTCATAAATATATAATCAATTTTTTTTCTTAGTGAAACCTAGTGAAACCTTAGAAAAACTGGATGATGATTTTCCTGTACTTGGTTTTGGAGCTGCAGGTAAAACCCGTAAACAATTTCAGCAGACAACCACCATTGAGTCCACCACCAAGTAGGGTTTTCACAAAATTAAATTATAATTGTAATAGTTATAATTTATTTTTGTTTTGCATTATTTATTTTCAGACCGACTACAGCTGCTGTAAACAATAAAAAATATTTACTTCCAAAAAAATTAAAGAAAACCAAACCAAAAAAAAAACAACTGGAACAAGGTATCAATCACCACCTAAAATTGTATATTTAATTCATATTAAAACATATAAATACATCTAAAAATTTTGTTCAGATTTAAAAGCTCTAAGAAATGAGATAGCCGAACTAAATGAAAACATTGTTACACTCGAAACAGTACAAAGTACGATAGAAGAACAGTTAAAAGAGGAAATACATAAAAATATTCAGCTTAATGAAGACTTCAAAATTGCGCTGTTGGATGATGACGATCACCAGTGCTGTATTTGTCGTGAATTATTCATAAGGGTAAAATTTTGAAAATTGTTCAGTTAATATAATATACATATGAAAGATATAATTAAAAATATAATCATAGAGAAACACATTTTTAATTATTTTATTTTACATTGATTTAGCCATCCTTGCTTGGTTGCTCACACATGTTTTGTGAATGGTGCATTGACAAATGGTTAGAGAAATATAATCACTGTCCAACATGTCGGGTTGCGATAGTCAGTTATACACACTGTTTAAATATGGACAACTACATCCAAAAAAAGATGGAAAAGATGCCAGCTAATATTAGATTGAAGTTCAAGGAGTTGGAACTAGTCCGAGCTAAGGATAAACAAACAAGTAATGAAGTACCTATACCGTAATTTAGTATTTCCAATTAATACAAAATTAATTTATTATTATAGGTATACAACTTCAAGCTGAGCGTAGGCGACTTGAGTTTATAACAATGACATTAAATGAACGTCGTCGTCCAAGCTAATATTCAACGCTCAAATAATGTAATGTGGTAAATGTATCCCAACCCCACTAAATTACTGTATACAATATATTTTGAATTAAAACTACTTCTATACTTATTAAAAAAAAATAGTAATTTGAGTGTATTATGCCTTATGGTTAAATATCAATAATAGCATATTATAAGTGGTTGTGTGCCACATTAAAAAATAGCTTATATTTTTCCAAAAATAGGATTTTAATTGATTCTTAAAATATTTTTATAAAAATTAACTAAACAAAGTGTACAGTCTACTATTGTTTAGTCTACAATGTGTGATGCAATCAATTCACTAAATACTTTTAACTTAAAAGTGGCGTAGCGTATGCGTATTCTGTGTATGCACAGCATACACTTCACAAAATGAAAAAATATTTTTTTATATATTACCTAATAATTCTATATTTTTATAAAAATGTTTTAAATTTCATTGTACTAATTTAGTTCTTCGTAATATAATATTTTGTGGATTTTTTTCCAAGTTCATTAATCATTATTCATTAGGATTGATTAATCCGTAACACCACGGCCGCTATAGTCCAAGTCGCTTATACCTAGTCCTTAGTACAGTAGTACCTCAGTACCTTGTTTATTATGTAAGCAGTATGCAAGTAGGCAATTGCATGCGGGTACAAAAGACTTCACAGACTTTCAGTGACTGCAGTTATTTATAGTTCTTATCGATAATATTAATAACAAAACATAGAAAGCTTATGGACGTATATTCGTCACTCGTGTATGCGGGATCAGTATTGCATACACTATCGTTGACAGTCTATTATAAGTTTTAACGTGCATTAATTTTTAAAAAGTGATTTACTTTTTATTTATTAAATATAATATTTTGTTTTGTACTAGGTAATGTAATATATATCAATGAATAATTAAAACTTTGTATGTTTAAAGTAAAATTTTAAAAACAGTATAGGGGGTGTTTGGGGCATGGCCCCCAACCATTCCCCTATTTTAACCCATACGCTAAGCTGAAACCCACGCTACGCCACTGCAGTTTTAAGATATGTACCTACTATAGAATTTGTATAGAATAAATATTAAAAATTAAAAACAAATATTTGTATGTAGGTATTGATATCTTAATAAAACTTTAGAATAGAAATAAAAAGTAAAAATGTGTGTTTTATAATAATATTACCCATATTAAGACCAAAATTTGTATGAGGAAAAAAGTTTACAAATATTAAAATAAAATGTTATCTAATTAGTACAAATTACAAAAGCTTTTATATACATTTTTAACATACGACCAGTGACGTAGCAAGGATTTTGAATGGGGGGGGGGGGGGAGGCAAAGCAAAAAAAAAATCGTCAACCGTTCTATTACCTGATAAACTCAAAAAAAAGAATAGTAAAAATTATAACATAAATATTGTTGTAAGACCAATTAATAATATCTCCTCTTTGGAAATTTTTCAACAGTTGTTGAACCCACAGATTATTTGTAAAATTAAACTCACAAGCACGTTCAAAACAATATTTTTACATTGAAATTGGGAGAACAATTGGGAACACGAGTAACACATTTAGGTACACATTTTTTCAGACACCAAAAATAAATGCAACGTTTGGTTACATCATATCTTTAAAATAATATTTGAGTACCAGTACGTTTTTTTCTATTTTATTTTTTAGAGGATTAGAGTTACCCAATAGACACCACGAGGAATTTGACTCATAATTGTTTCCTAATTCTTTTTTGTGTAACTAATCTAAAAATATTTTTTCTATTACACAATATTATATTAAATCATTGGGTCACTATGAAAATACTAAATCTACTTAATTCAAAAATGGTATTTGATTTTGTTTACTGCAATCTTATTTAATATAAAATTTTTTTTTCCTACATAACGTGGATAGTATTATTGTCAAGTTTAAATTCATTAATTTTTTATTTAAATGTATTCATGTTATGTTATAGTTTCGTTTCGTTGGTATAATAAAAAATGTTGTGCTTGTCTTTGTTTATTCTAAATTCTCTACATTTTAAATTACCAATTATAATGCACCTTTATCATGACGGGTTTCAAAAACTTCAATAATATTCACATTTATGATTTTCACTCTTCAGTTAAGCAAAACGAATATACTGAGATACCGAATCTGAGTGATTGAATAAATAAAGAAAAATGTAGTTATATTTATTATATTGATAAAAGTGTTATAAAGTTATATTGTCTAATATTGTATATTACCTATGCATTATGTTTATCCCAGACGTTCTCTGATTACACTAATTTACCAGGTAAAATTATAAAATATCTTTTATTCTATGTGTTCAAACGTTGTGTCTATTTGTACCCAAATGTGTTGTGCCTAAACGTCCATCGCTCAAAATAATAAAGCTTAAGGTTGGGGGGGGGCATAGCCCATTGCCTCCCCTTAGCTATGCCACTGTTTATAGTATAAATGTAAGTTTTCACAAGCTGAGTGAAATAGTTTATAAAAGATGAGATACTTTGTAAGGTTGATATTATGTTTTGATGGATGTTTATAAGTTATAACTAGGGCTAGGATTTTAATGACCCAAAAAACCTAAAAAAATGACATTAAAATAACCAAAAAATGACCTTAAAATAACCTAAAAATGACCTTAAAAAATGCCCAAAAGATAAAAAATGATTTTAAAATGTTATAAAAATGCATTTTAATTATTAATTAATATTTTGGTAAAAAATTATTTAAATTATAATATTATAAAAAAATAGCAAAAAAAATGTTAATTTAGGATTTTCTTGATTTTCTTAATTTACAATTTTCTTGAGTACGAGATGGAGCTTTTAAAAATACTTTCTTCATATTTGATATGAATTCGTTTACTAAAGGGAAATATTTTCTAATTTCTTCCGATACTCTATGAAGAGCATGAGCCAAACACGTAACATGTTCCATATTTGCATACAATAGCTTTAAAGATCTGGCCGCTTTCACCCTCTATGGAGCTGCATCAGATACAAAATATAAAAGTACATTTTCATGTTTTACTCCATCAGGCCATTAAAGTAAAAGAGATTTATCGAAAAATCTAGCAATTGTTCCATGATTAGCTTTTTCCAGGCATTCGGAATTTAAAAGAAAAGTTTTACCTGGATGATCAATTTCCAACGTTCCAATTATTGCATTAGCAACATATCGACCAGCTGCATCCGAAGTTTCATCTATTGAAATCCAAATTTTTTTCCCCGAGGCTTATGTTCTTATTTTATTCAAAACTTTTATCGAGAACATCTAGTGTAAATGAAAATGTATAAAAATATTACCTAGATTTCAAAAAAGTATAAAAAAATGCCCGTAAAATTGAAAAAATGACCTAAAAATGCTAAAAAATGACCCTAAATCCTTAAAAGTACAAAAAATGCAAAAAAAAGCAAAATAAAAACTATAAATTTGGACTCGTATATGACCAAATCACATTTTGTGCTTGAAAAGCTATGTCCTGTAAATCCTAAAAAAAAATGCAAAATCCTATACTATCCTAGCCCTAGTTATAACTTATTCAATATACATTTCTGAAGCCATTTTAAGAAAACGACATTTTCATTTATTGATATTGAGTAAGCAATATGCTTCATTATTATCACATAAAGTCGTTATCAATTTGTTGTTATCATCAACCACGGCCTCCTATATAACACCATGAACTACGATAATAGTCTTAGTTAATTATCTTAGTTCATGTATAACACCCACAGACAATAATATATTGTTATTGTATGTATCTGTGATAACACCATAACACAATAACATATGATAACACCTATATAATGTTTAATTTTCAAGCAATATTATAAATTTAGATTTTAGTTGAAAAACTATTATCAACAACACTAAATAAAAATATTAATGACGTATAGCATAGTTTTATCCAGCGAGACGGTAGTGGCGCGAAGCTAAGTAAAAAAAAATAGCGGAGTAGCCACTAACGTATAATAACAGGAAACCGAGTTTTAACATTGAAAAATCGTCCTAATTTATGTCAATTCTTTGCCAACCTCTACAGGGCAAAAAGCTGAACATATAAAGTCGTATCAATCGATCCGAAATATTATGCAGATGGGAACAGAGGAACTCGCTAGCAGATTGGTTAGATAGTTTATAAGTTATAAGCAAAAATGTTCAAGTACTTTTAAGACCGATTTTGAGTTTGGAACAGTGGGTCGGGGAACGAAAATATCGTAAATATCCCCCGACCCGCCGCTTATCCATTACACTTCTCTCATCGCGGCGGCGGCGGCGACGACGTACGACGATTGGCGATTGCGACGGCCCGGTCTCTCGGATGCCGGTGGCCGGCAACCATTAATTAGTATTTACCCATGACAAAATAAATATTTATGCTATCAATTTGGTAATAAGCAACTGTGTGTTCTCCCACCACAAAAATTACATCTTCCGTTCTCCGATATTATATATTATTATTATTATTATTTCAGCTGGTGAGAACTGCTACGTCACAGTTCTTGGCGAAGTGCGGGAGGGGTGCGCGTTCTCGACCAACATAAGTTACGTTGATAGCATACCTATTTGTTTTGTCGTGTATTTACCATTATACCATTTCGTGTATTGCTGACGACTCAACGACTGTGATTGGCGATTGCTTAGTGAATTCGTAATCCAGATTGACGGTATTTTATTATTGTGCTGAAAACTTGGAACAATAATAAAATAAAATAAGCAATCTGGTGATTAATTCATTACCCGTGGCAACAACTAAGGTCGATGGCAAATCATATGCTATTAATTCTGTGATTTGCCATCATGGTCCATCTATGACTCAAGTCTCAAGCCCATTACACATCAGTTATTAAACTTAATAATAAAATATGGGTTAGATGTAACGATACAATATTTATAAATTATTTTATAGTTTTAGAAAAAAAAAACTAAAATAGAAAAAAAGATATAACAATAGGAGGCCAACAATGCATATGTTATTATGGATTATTATTATTATATACAGTTAA